AAGCAAATTCAGGAGCTATGAAGTATTTAATTATTAAACCAGGAAGTAACCTTGCTCTTCTTCCAGAAATAGGAAACAAAAAATCCCATATATGTGTCTGCAACATTTATTTCTGTCTGTTTACTGCTTAGAGCAGTTTGACAGCTTAGTAACTAAACAGCAGCTTACCAGGTTACCTTTAAAAAGAATCAAGGTAGGATTCATTAAAATACACACAATAGGTAATGAACAGGTAGGCAAATCTATTCCACATAACAGTAAGGCAACATAATCCAGGAGGATTATTTACCACTCTACCATTATCTGTCATTCCTGTTCCACTCACCTCCCCTCTCCCCATTTTTTAGCCTACATCCAAATAGGTACAAATCTGTCCAAAGACAACAGCTTCTCCTGTCTGCAGGCAAAACAAGCTTTGAATAATTCCATGTTCTTTTCCTGTTCCTAAATACATTCCTCCCTCTGCTGCGTGGCAGGAGCACGGCATCCCGACCGGCATGGGGTACGCGGTGGCTCCACACCACTCCGGGGTCTACCCAGTTCACATCCAGCTGTATGAGGCCTGGAAGAAGGTCTGGCACATCCGAGTGACCAGCACAGAAGAATACCCACACCTGAAGCCTGCACGGTACAGACGGGGCTTCATCCACAATGGCATCATGGTACACTGCATTTCCATGCTTCGGAGCGGTAGTACTTTCAGTCACTGGAGAGGATGCTGGTTTTAACTAATGCTTCAGGTTTCACAGCAATCACTACAATTCTCTGTGATGGAGGGTTTGTGAGGACACCAAAATAGTCTGTCTGTTAGGCAGCACGTTTAAAAATAAGAAATCAAGTCATACAAAGGCAGGCAACTGCAAAGATAATCCTCAGAAACTAAATGAACTACTAGCCCCCTTAACTATCAACTGAGTTATAAATGCATACCTTGAAATTCATTAAACTGCCTAAGACCTGTGTTTCAAGCTCTGGTTCATCTTTATGCATGAAAGGATTAGAAATCCACCACCTGGGAAAGTGAGCAGGTCTAAGTAATCTCCTCCAGCAAGTGTGACACTTCTGAGGCTGAGGTTTCATTCCAGGCTTTGCTTCTGAAACCCCCAGAGCCAGGGATGGAACATGTGCCTGACTCTTCCAAGGAGAGGGAAGGTTCCTCACACACTTCAACTGCACAAAGGGCAGGAAAATGTAGATAATTATTTAGCCTGTCTTACCAGCCAGATGCAACCACATAAACAGGTGAAACACAAAAACTGCACGTGCATCAGAGAATTTAGAAATATTCCAAGGGCAGGCCCTGGGATGCTTTAAAGTTCCAGCTGACTTAAGTATTGCCTATGCATATGAAGTCAAATTTGTGGTCCCCTAAACGAGACAAAAGGAACATCTTCAAACCAAGAAGCTACTGCACAGAGTCCAGTTACTATCAGAATGGGCCCCAATATCACAGCGCATTTACACATGTATTAAAGTGTTCTGCTGAATGGAGCTTTTATTTGTTGTTTTACCAGAGCAGAAAAACAAAAACACTGACTGAAGGGAAACAAAAGGCCTTTCCCAGGTGAATTATATCTCTGCATGGAGTAGGCAATACCCATTAGTCCTGACAGTTACTGTCTTTCCTTTACCAGAGCCCTTTGATGGTAGCTGGCTAATAAGATAGCTAAACCTTCTAGTTTATTCTCAGAGATGAGTTTGTTTTCCCATGCCTGCCAGCAGGCTTGTTTCTGACACTTGAATTACTCTGGGACAGGACTGACCTTGGGCTGGTCTGGTACAAACATCCCACCAGCCCCATCACATTTCACAGACAGGAATGAGGGTCTCAGGGTGGCTTTCAGGACTGAGGAAGCAGCAGGTCTTTTGTGGTCCATAGCCTTGAACACAAGTTCAGTTTTGTGTCAAGAACACTAAGATTAATTGCCTGAGATAGCCAAGACAGCCAGGAAGCACTGTTTATCTGTTAATAAACTAACCTTGCTCAGGCAAGAGAGGTTTGGCTTTTTGTTTTCTTGCAAATGCCAGGAAACAAACACTTATTATGAGTGTATGAGCTCAGAGCATGTGTGTCACAGCTTTTCAAAGCTGGCATCTGCAAATCTCCACATCTGCAGGGCTGGGCTGGCTTACCATGAGAGTAAAGAAGACACAAAGGAGTCCATAAATAAACATGCCAGTGCCCAGAGGCAGAAAGGGGTTGCAGTTTTGTTTCTTTGAGTTGCTGGAGGGATTTGGGTGGCTGTGCCAGGGGGAGTTTGCAGAAAGAAGTTAATGTCACCACAGCTCTGTTATTTTGTTCTCAGGTGCTCCCTCGACAGACCTGTGGCCTTTTCACTCATACTATTTTTTACAAGGAGTATCCTGGGGGACCTCAGGAGCTGGACAAAAGTATCAGAGGAGGTGAACTCTTCCTCACCATTCTCCTGAATCCCGTAGGTACCTTCTTCTGCTTTTTTTTTTGGACAAACTTACTTCAGGGGGAGGTGGGAGGGAGGAAGGGAAGGAAACGAGTTTGATTTAATCTTGTTTGGAAAATAAAAATCAAGACTGCTTGTTCAGAGGTAACAAGCAGTTTAAGAGGAAAGGAGCAAAATATCTTCTCTGCTAATTTCTAACTACATCTCTGTGCAACAAGTTACTGGGAAAAGCATTCATTTCAGCTCCATAGTGTTTCCCAACCTAAAGCTGCATCTCCATGAGAGAATAATGTCCTGACTTGTCTACCTGAGACTGAAAGAAATCAGCGAGTGTAGAGAACCTCTCCTTTTTTCCCCTGTAAGTTTGGCTCATCATGCATTCCTGATGCACAACAGAAAACTCCAGGGCTCAGGCCTGACATCATTCCCTCCCCACAGGCTCTTAGAAATAGGTTTTGTGCAGCTAAACAATACCCCAAGCATTACACAGCTACATTTTTGCTTTGCTCAGCATTGCTTTTCCTTTTCTCTGTCAACACTACCTGAACTATCAACTCTATCTATGGGTGCACATATAAGCAACCTATGTATGTATAAACACACACACACATATATGGTTTAATCAGAAGTGCCACAGACCTTAGGGGTGATTTGCAGAGCTATCACTCCATTTTGTCACTCAGCTGACCAGGCAGTCTGAACACGAGGTAGGTGGGTCCCTAGGTGTGATTTGGCTCACCAAGGATCAAGGAAAGCTACCTGGCTGCAAATGCTCTCTTTTGAAGTCACAGTTTTCTTGCCTGTCAACAACAACCTGGTGCCACTGAAGACAGTAACCTGGAGGTGAAAGGAGGAAGGACAAGAACAACAACAACAAAATATCATGTGATATAATTTTTTTGCCATTGTCCTCCTGTCTTCCTGTTCCACCCAAACAAGCTACACTGCTCACAAGATAAATGTCTCCTGTCGTGCCAGGTGGCCTAATTTTCAGTGGTTTTAAATTGCAGTACCCATTGACTTCTCTGCAGAGTTAAGGAAACTTCAAGTAGAGCTAACTCTCAAATCCAGGTCACTTTTATTTAGAGACCTAAATATAGATTTCAGTACTATATAATTAGGTGAAAGTTTTGGCTGAGGAGCTAACTTGGCATCTCAGTCAAAGATTCAGCAGGCTTAAAGAAATGGGGCATTGCTATTAGGAACTTTTCTGTATCATACGTGTGGCACCTAATTTGAGAATAAAAAATAGCCCTGGTCTTTGTCCTGTCACTCCATTACCTGCAGTTCTCTCAGCTTTTCTTCCCATAGTTCCCTTAAGTGTAACTTGGCTCATCACTGCCTTGGGATGCTGCTGGAATTTCTCCTTAGCTTTATTATATTTTGGTCAATACCTCTGCTTCTTTCACTTCCCTGAAAACTTCCTCAGATTTAGCAGTGCAGCTGTGTGTAGCAGAGTATGTTCTGACCTAGAACAGCACAAATTCCTTCTTCAATCACCATGTCCAAGTCTGTGACCAGGCTTTCCTGACCCTGACTTCCTTTCCTACAAGTCACCTTTTCCCTAACTCCAGCTTTTTCTTTCTTACTGACAACAAATGAGGGAGAATGCACAAACTCACAGCTGCTCATTTGAAGTTTCAGCCTTTGGATCTTCAAAATGATTTTGTCCAAATCATAGAATAGTTTGGGTTGGACCTTAAAGATCATCTAGTTCCTGCATGGGCAGGGACACCTCTCACTAGACCAGGTTGCTCAGGGCTCCACTCAACCTGGCCTTGAACTCTTGAAATGTTCCTTCCAAAGACAGACTGAGGATATGAGGAAGGATAGCTCTTCAATTAGTCTAAAATACTATTTCAGAGGCTGTTATGAATTCTGAATGAAACCAGATCTGCCTACACCACCGTTTATTATTCTTTCCATAATTCATTAGCCTGGGCTCTCCAGGCAGCTCCCAAGCAGGACCAACCTCAGAGATGTTGGAACATCCTCCTTCTGGGAGCTCTACCCACACAGCTGCTTCTGCTGGCCCTGCAGGAGGTTTCCTCTAGCCAGGTCCAATTGCTTCCCCTAGGAAAGGGCCAATTCCCTCTTTAGACAGGTCCTGCAGTCCAGACAGGTGCTCTTTGTGCCCCACTGAATTAGACACAAAGAACATATCAAATAATCATAGAATCAAGAATCATATGATAATAAGTAGCTTTGCTGTCTGTCTAACAGGTTTCAGGAGGGATGCAGCATTGGCAGGACATTTCCTAGGAAGGCAATATGTAGCAGCACACAAAGCATCCCAGATTTAATCATGCATCTTTCATGTTCATGACAGAGTTAGAAGACCATCTTTCAAAGAAAAGGGAGTGTGTGTGTGGGGGGAAGATTTTATTTGCTTTTCTTCAGTACATGAGCTTGTTTTGACCAAGCTATGTTCCATTACCTTGAGAGTGCAATTTATATTATTGGGTGGCATTTGAAAAGAACAGCTTTTCTCTACTGTTAATGTTTGATGCTCCCCTCCCACTTCTATGATTTTTTATCTTTATCTTATCAATACTAAGCAACACAAGAGAAATACTGACACGCACTAACTCTGAGTATGAATCTGTTCCAATATAGGCCTTATTCAGACAGGAAGAAATACAATTTAATCATGAGTGAGCTGAAGTAAGATATACCACGGACCCAACCATCATTCAAGTCAGGCTGGTTCACTACTCTATGAAATATGCACTGTCTGACAACAGTAAAAGCAAAACATAGCTTCATCTCAAAGGGAAGCTGCTGTGAGTAGGGGGAAAAAAAAAATCATCTATTCTCATACAGCCTTATTCTTTTCATAAATACCAAGTTTTGACAGCACACAAACGAACAAACAAGACCTTTCTTTCATTCAGTGCAAGAGAAAGTGTAGTGTTTTGGTGGTTAATGTAAAAAAGTTCACAGATTAGTATCTGAAATCTAGGGTATCTCCTGAAAAAGATCACTAAAGTCTCTCTTCTGCTGGCCAATCACAAATTCAGCTGAATAAAAAAATGTGGTTTGAATGTGGTATGTTCTCCAGTCTGGCACCTGTGTGTATTGGAATAGCAATGAGGTTTCCCATCTTATATCCTAGAAGCTTTTCACACATCTCTGCTCATTAATGAGCTTCCATGATATTCAGGTACCAGCCAGAGCAGTTCAGGACTTGCCCACAAGTAGCACAATGTAAACCTGCATGTGCTCTCCAAAGAGGTTATGGAGAACAACCATCAGGGATGTAAAGCCTTTGTCAAAACCATAATTTTTTTTGTTGTTGCTGAGTCATATTGAACAAGATGCCTAATGTAGGTAAGATATAGAGAGGTTTATGCTGCTTTACACATCATTGCAGTTACCCTACTTCTAGTTTTGCAGGAAAGGGATTGCCTGTGCCATTGTTTATTTTTACATTATTAACATTTTTACATGTATTTTTTGTTTAGTCTTTAAAAACACTGACCAGATTCTTTCCTGGTGTGGAAGAGATTCACAGACAGAATAGCTCCCAGTAATTCTATTGCCTGGTGGCTGCACAAGCCTCCTGCTCACTGGGCTCTCGTCTCAAGTGGATCTGTGCAGTTGCCACCAGGCTTGGCATGAGTTCTGTGCATGCAGCAAGGGGGAAGGGGAACCCCTCCACACAGGCTCTTCTAGAGGATGAAGATGCTATAAAGCTATTTCTGCTTGTGGGAAGAGAACATGTGTGTGCACTCTCACAGCACTGCCAGGCTACCATGACAACTGAAGTCACATACAAATTTTGTGAGTTATTGTCATAAAAGATTATAGCCCAGAGCCCAAGATTGGGTTAGAAATCTCCTTATGCAGGGAATTACCTGCTCTATGATGTGTGGTGTTGTTCACTACCCCTGTCTGGTTCAAAAAGCACAGGGGCAACCACAACAAAAACAGGTTTTGCAGAGCCCTTTCTACAGTTACAGCAGACCATAATGTTACCAGCAGATAATGAGATGCCTTCTCAATCATCAAGCAGGCTAGAAGTGAGTTTTGGAGCAAATTTATTTGTGGTTGTTGCCTGTCTCATTTTTGTGTTTTGTTGGGTTTTTGTTATTGTTATTGTTCCTTTTGCCAGTTTTTACATTGGTAAGATTCTGTAGATGAGCCTGACAAAAGTTGGGCAACAATTCCAAGTTGCATGTGATTTATAAGAACATTTGGGGTTTAGATGCTTGAAAGTCTAGATGTTTTCTGCATAAAAACAAACCAACCCATAAATAATTGCTCATCTACTTCTAAAACAAAAAATAAAGCCAGCAGTGCAGTTCAATGACATCTTCCCAAGGCAGCTATGGGAGGGGCTGATCCCCCAGATGCTGCAAAACAGACTGTTTGTTGCTGGCTTCTCTTTTGGAGGCAGCTACCTCCTTTCCTTCCAACCAAAACCCTGGACCTGTGGTTTTTGAGGTTGGCTCATTTCAGGGACTGTTCCCAAAAGCCAGTCTGGACAAGGATGCATCAGCTTTACCTCTTTGCTGACCTCCAACACCATTCTCAGAAGGCTTTCAATGTATACATCTTGCCAGTCTTTAGCTCTGTGTCCTTGATTGTGCAACACCCATCACTGGTGTCATGCATGAAAACATTCCTCTAAAGCAACAACATAGGTCTCGTGCTGTTCTAGGCACTGAAAAACCAGACATACTAAATAACTTTTGGTTTTGAGCAATCTGTGCAGGAACACTGTGTGGTGGGAAGCAATGTAGGCCTGAGCTTACTCCATGAGAGGACACATCTGAGCAGCACACTCCCCCTCTCCTGCCCCCACCTACACACAAAGCCTGGCTGCTGTAAAGCATCTCCCACCACTGCCTGGAAATGACCAAAGATGTTGGACCACTAAAACAAAAGAACTTCTCACCCTCTAAGTTTGCCTTGCTGAAGAGACCTCCAGGTGCATCTGTTGCTTATGAAGAAGCAGACCAAGACCACCAGCTCAAAAAACATGAGGTGCTGCACAGCACAGTTGGGCCTGT